CTGGCCACAAACTTTGTCTTGTAGCCCCTCAGATGCAAGATGCATCACAAAGCATCTTGAGCCCACAGGTTCAGAGTGCTCATTCAGTGAATATTATTAGAATTAATATAATGAAGAGTATGGTGTAAACCTGCTCTATATGATAAATGTCCTGAGATAATTGATGATAGATGATTCAGATGATTAGCACCCCTAATATTGCTATACCAAAAGTTTTCATAGCAAAGATGGAACCAACCGCAAGCGGCCTGAAAAAAACTTACAGTGAAAAAAATCAGTTCTCTGTAACTGCTCCGTTTGGTCTAGCATTTTGCCACCTCTGGTTAGTGATGGCCCTTTCATCAAAGAGAGGCATGAAAGACTGGAAACACATTCACCAAAGAATATGGAAACGAAAAAATAAGACACACAGAGATAAGTGCAGATGCTTACTTTCTGAATGTAAATAAAAGCAGATGTGAAAGCCTGTTGACTGGCAACCAAATTGTCATTGCGTGCTGACCAAGTGGCTTTAGAGAACAGTGCGCTATTGTAGGCTTAACATGTAAAGTTATAATTACATTATTTTAATATAATAGGTTGTGATCTAAAGTGGGCCGGTCTGGGCATGAAACTCCAGGGCTGAAAATGAGTCCCACTCCGGCCCTGGCGAGGACCCTCTGTATGAAAAGTTCCTAAAAGAGACGATGACATGTTTCAATCATGTATTATTCACTTGTATGTATTATCACTTAAAATCACTTTGTGGGTGCATATCACAGGAAATCATTTTGGGTTGAAGACAGAGCTAACAGAAACAACACTATTGTAAATGAATTGCCTTGTAGGAACATATCTGATGTGATGTACTTCAAGGTATAAGCAGTTACCTACTTATTTCTCAATCAGTTTTGGGTATACCCACTTCTAAATCCCATCTGATGTGCGATTTTAGTAGCGTTCTGTCTGCTGATTTATTTAATTTTATTTTTCATACACATTTTTATAATTGGATGGAGTGAAAAATCTGAACATGCATAATTATCATCATAATGATCCTTACTGCCAGAAGTCAAGCAGCAGAAGTTGAGTAACAATGTGTAAACACTACTGGCCCATTTTTGGGTCAACTGAATATGCAAGAATAGTCATACATGACACTGTCGATAACACAGGGCATTTATCCTTGCTAAAAAGGTAGCTTTAAAGGTATTATTTTTGGCCTTAGTGCTTTTATTTGACAGAGACAACTGAAGATAGACAAGAAAGGTGGGTAGAGAGAGGGGGTGACACGCAGCAAAGAGCCGCCGGTCCAATTCGAACCTGGGCCGCTGCAGCAACTCCGAGGATGGGTTGCCAGCTCTACCGACTGAGCTAACAGGGCACCAAGGTTGCTTTAAAAAAGAATTGGGGCATACATTAGGACTATACCAGACACCGCTACACTGCTGAATGTAAAGTTCTTCTTACTTACTTACTCAAATTTGAAATTACATTTTACACATCTAGATCAGATATGTGTCTTTACAGTAGAGCATGCATACAGTTTGTTAGGTTAAATTGCTTCATTGTATAGTTTCTAATTAAAAAGGGAGTCAGGGATATAAATAACAGGGTTTATAGTGATGCAGCAAATGCAGAACATTTAGCTTTTTGTAAAATTGTATAATTTAACTTTTAACAGTTAGCTGTAGTTTTTCAAAATATCTAACTAATGATATCTTTTTCAAATATAATTTGTTAAACTTTTTATCAGGCCTGACCAAATGCCATGTTGTGCTTACTGTCTCACTTCCCTTCAGTTTCTGTCTAATTCATCAGAGCAGAGTTTCATCAAAAGAGGAAACAGACGTTGTTCCTCTCAGAGATGGATGGTGGTCGCTTCCGATACTCGACCTGTTTTTTTACATGCAGTACTCTGTTGCTGCTTGAAGCCCCCCTCCATGGTATGTATACCTCTGGTCAGTAAAACTGTGCAGATTTACTGTTGTAAGAGGTATTTGTCTGGCTGTTGCATGTTTGCATGAGGATAGAATTACACAGCTCAAGTATAGGTCAACATATCCTGGATATCTTACCATCTTGATCGTGTGTTTAGCATCCCAATTCATAGTTTACATAGTTTACTTTTTATTGTATTTTCAGATGTTGTTTTTATTGCATTTCTTTGTCTTGTGTAAAGCATTGTCCCTGTGTTTAACTTGCCTTATCTCATGTAATTGTAAATAATAACGATAATAATAATGCAGCTCAAACAAAAAGCAAAACAAAGAATTTGAAGAACATGTCTCCCAATTTTATTTCAGTTGTCAGCTTGAAAATAAAATAGGTTTTTTGTCAGGCTATACCCAAACAACCAACTGAGAGCTCAAAAATAATTTATCAGAGTGTTTTCTAATCAGTCACAATGTGGTTAAGATATGATTGAGGAGCAACTTAATACCCCCGTAGTACAGTCAGATAACTGAAATTACTTTATGTCTTATGGTTAGGGGAAAGTCTATGTCATGGTTGAAGTGGTGACTGTTGGCAGGAGGAAATAGGACACAAACAAATGCAGAAGGAAGACATTTTGTTTTCTGGTGGCATGTCACGTCATCAACTCATATATTTTGCATTATACATTGTCATGTCGTCTTGTCATCCATGTACTGTTGTCATGATATGTGTGACTATTTTACAGCATTTCTTGTCTTTGTTATGTCATGTCATGTATGTAGGTATTAAATATGTTTTTTTATATCATTCTATCCCCTTCTTTGCTCCTTTATATTGATTATATAAACATGTACTATTATACTTTGCATACTAGTTATAGAGGCTCTGGTTACAAGACATTTGGTCCTTT